AAAGGAAATATCTAATATTTTTTTTGGCGTCACGTGGAAATAAATATTTATTATTATGGACTTGACAGTTAGATTACACCTGGAATATTGTGGAAAAACTTGTTTTTTTTGTTTTTCCCCAAAATTAACTTTAAAAAATGTTTTAAAGTAGAAACAGAAATTCTCTTCTGGTAAAGTGTAAACCAAATATTATAAAAAAAAAAAAAACTTTATTGGATAAAAGTGGTAATTATACACAGAGATGACGTAAGTTTCTTTACGTTTATATGATTTTAATTTATCAGTAAGTAATATTTAATAATGATTCGTATATTTATATAATTGGCACGCACAATATTTATATTTCGCTGGAGAATATTTATTTCTTTTCCAATGTCAGAATTAGAAGAAGAGAGATTAAGGAAGGACTTGTCTTCTCCCTCCTACTCATCGATCGTCAAACCAAGCAAAGTCTCAGTCGCTGGTGCCGTTTTTCTCGGTATAATCCTTTTGCTCAACTTTTCTCACTCGCCTTCCTTTAGATTTCTACTGTTTTGTTCTTGATCCTTTTTAGTGTCGAAAATCTCTGGATCCGATGTGTTTTCGTCTGAATTTCGGCGGTATACTCTTAATGATACTCAGATCTTGCATTATTCAGAGTTTCAGTGGTTTTGATGCTTGATCGGGTTTTGTTTTTTTGCTGGGTTTAGGTTTCTTAGCTTAGTTCTGGGAGAAACTTTTTTTATGTTTAAGGTTTGGAATTGTAGGCTAAAGACTCCAACTTTTTTTTCCTCGGACTTGATTGGGTTTTGTGTTTTGTACTATCTATTGATCTGTTGATTTTTCGTTTTGTAGGAGATACAATGGGTTTGCTAGTAGTTAGGTGAAGTTGATCGATTTCAATTCGGTGATTCATGCTAGTTGATGGTAGTTTTGTAGATGAGGCAGATTTTAAGTTCTCTCTCTGACTTGAATAGTTGAAACCTTAAGAGAGTAGTCAGTTTAGCTATTTCATTGTTGAAAATATGCTCAGTAAGATTTGCTCAAGATGATCTGTCCCTGCTCGAGTAGGTTTTTTTATTGGTTTGTATACCAATCCAAGTACGACAAGGCTATCTAAGGGTTTTACTAATGTTTTTTCTTGAATATGTGTTATGCTTTAGTAAAATTACTTTTCTCCCATTTCAGGCACTTCAATGAGAGTTTGAGTTGTTCATGTTAGAAGTACTATTCTGCAGCCAAAACATTCAGTACTTACAAAGAATGCTTATGCAAAGATTTGACTTGGGCCATGATCATGATATGTCGTCTCCAAGCGTCTGCAAGGGAGTTGGTGAACTAGATGGATAGACACTTTGACAAAGAAAACATGGATCAAGCAAAGGGTTATGATCACGTTCGGTATACTGCCCCTGACCCTAGAGATGAGGGGCTTGGCTCCATAAATCAAAGGTTTTCCCACGATTCTTCAACTAATATTAACACAAATGTACGACCTCCAGATTATGGTATT